ATCTTTAGCATCTCTTGTCCACCGTTTCAAGATATATCGGGATGGGATTACCGAACGGCCAGAATATTGAAGAACAATCAATGCATGCCGACAAAGAAAACCTCTATATTCAAATAACCGACATATGCATGACACTTCAGATTTAATTTCATTCCACACAACAATGAAGTCTTGATTCTTTCCATATCATGAACCTTGTAAGTAATGCCTGCATCATCCTGTCTTTCAGCTTTAGGATGACAAGCAGCTGCACTGATAACCTCAACTTGAATCTTCTTGAACACTATAAAATACTATTTGGGGCACAACCTCTATCGTGCATCTCATAAATAATATCTTGCACATTAGAGATTCTACCTGACTTGACAAACCATTGACAAGGGAGTTGTAAGTGACAATGTCGGGAATAAAGTATTTGCAGCGCATTTCTTTAAAGAGATTAATGGCCTCATCAACCATCTTCATTTTACAAAATGCTTGTCAACTTTTTCCATCATGAACACAAGTAACACGATCTTGGAGTAGAGTGACTAACCTTCCTTTATCATTTCAAGAGACCTTGATGAACAATTCGTCAATCAGATTCTTTGCCTCATCATTCTCACCTTTTTCCAAAAGAGGTATAATAATTGTTTCAAAAGTTACAAAATCGGGCGAGCACCCATTCTCTTGCATTTTATAAAGCAAAGCCTTCGCTTCATCATACAAATGCTCTTTACAAAGTCCTTTGATCATAGCATTATATGCTGGCACATTCAAAGGATGACCATTAACCAAAAGATGTTGGAAAATCTGCCGTGCATCATTTAATCTGTTACCCTCGCACAAACCATCAATAAGTATGGTATATGTGTAAGTATTAGGCCGAATTCCTTGGTTAACAATTTGCCTGAATAATGAAATTGCCTGGTCAAGATGGTGACTTTTGCACAATCCATCTAACAAGGTATATAAAATACTATATTTGGGGCACAACCTCCATCATGCATCTCATAAATAATATCTTGCACATCAAAGATTCTACCTGACTTGAACAAACCGTCAACAAGGGAGCTGTAAGTGACAATGTTGGGAATAAAGCTTTTACGACGCATTTCTTTAAAAAGATTCATGGCCTCATCAACCATCTTCATTTTACAGAGTCCATTAATTAAAATGGTATAGCTAATAACACAAGGAGCCAAACCACTTTGACCATCTTGTTGAACAGTCTTTTTGACTCAAAAACATTATTAATCAAACAGTACCCATCCATTAAACTGTTATAAGTAAAATCATTAGGTTTTTCACCGCACTTCATCATCATGGCAACCATAGCCTCAGCTTTAGTCATACTTCCTTTCTTACAAAATGCATCGACCAATATATTAAAAGTACACACATCAGGGTTAATGTCTTTAAGTCTCATTTCATTGAACAATGTTGCTGCTTCTGACCATTTATCCAGGACACAAAAACCGCTTATGAGAGAGTTGTAGGTCACAACATTAGGAGATATTCCATGATCAATCATTTCATGAAATAAATCATAGGCTTCAGCTATGAGCCTTTCTCTGCAAAAGCCATCAATAATTGTATTATAAGAAACTAAATCAGGCTTAACGGGCCCTCTCCCCATGTTTTGGAGTAATTTAACAGCAGCCCTTGTTTTTCCAATCTTGCATAGTCCATTCATCAGTGTGTTGTAGCTAACAACATTTAACTGGAAACCTTTTGCTGTCAGATCATCATGAAAATCTAATGCCCTCCCAACGTCATCATTGACGCAAAGGCCCTTCATTAGTGTGGTCAAAGAAATCGTATCTGGCTGACAGCCCATCTTAAGAATCTTGCCTAAGGCAGAGAAACCAAAAGGCATTTGACCCAAATGGCAGTAACAATTAATCAAGATGTTCAGCGTAACCAGAGATGGCTTGAATCCCTTAGATTCCACTTGGGCAAAAAGGGAGATAGCTGTAGCATATTGTTTCAACCTCGCAACATATCCTAAGATCTTAGTGATTTGGAATATAGAGGGTGGGGGGCGCACATGAAGCAGGCGATTAAAAGAAGAGACAGCCTCTTCAATATTCTGAGGATTTGTGGAATTGGAATGTAAACAGAGGCAGGCAGTTAGGGCATGTGAAGGAGAAATAAGGAAGGGAGACGTAGACGCGGAAGAAAACGAAGGAAATCGGCAGAAGACATACCGTGACGGAGCTCTGCAACATGACATCTTCAGTTGCATTCAGAAATTTAGATCCTCCAACAAAGAATTCAACGCAGAATTGGACGAGGAAGACGAAGGCTTTCTTGCCACCAGAGACGCACCGAAATTTTCTTCGGATAGGTTTAGTTTTAGCTTTTCGAGACACTAATAATGCCAAATAAAAAAGAATCAGTAAGGAAATTATTTTAATTCTAAGTAATTTTTTCGCTTGCCTAAGTTTTACAGTTTTTTTTTTTGCCATCTAAATTTTATAAGTTAATTTTTTACCTCAATTTATTATAGGTTAATTTTAAGAATTTTCCAATTTGGTTTCAATTTTAATCATATTTATATATGAGAATTATTATTTTTAATTTATTTATCACTTTTAAAAGAAGCAAGGAAAGCAAGGCATTTTCATTATTTATATCGTTGTAAAAAAAAAAGTATTATTTGTATCATTTTGACTTCATTCAAAAAGAAAAAGGGGGTGGGGGTCTATTGACCCATCTATTTTGTTTTTTAATTTTTGGCCACCAGATATATGTGTCCATACTAACATTAAAATGTCAATCAAAAGTGACATTGAATAAGTTAAATAAATTATAATTAAATAACTTATATTATATCATCATATGAAATATTTGAGTGTATCATTAAATTATATATTTACAATCACATATTTATATACTACTTTCAATTCTTAATATAAGAGCTAATTTACTAAAAAAATTAGTTAGGTTAGTTATTTGTAATAAATAGATGTTATCTTTTTTAAACTTGCTAATAAAGTATATTAGTTAAAGCTACCAATTGGTGAAATTTTTAACATGTGCAACTACTATAACAATTATATTGAAAATAATAAATAAATATGATAGATAAATAGATTGGAGTCTTATATTAACAATCAGATGTAGTACTTGTTTATAATTTAAGAAAATTAGTTTGGAGAAAATAATAATATAAATTTTTAAAATAATTTATTTAATTTTTTAATCTTTCTAAATAAGTTAACTCGAATATTATATTAAAGATCCAAGTTATTATGAATAACAATAGAGTCAACTACAAATAACAAAATAACTCTTTAGAAGGAGAAATTATTAGATATCAGTAGCTTATTTAAATGCTTGTATCAGCCTCATATATTTTTTTTTTTATCAACACAACACTATGGAACCAGAAAAATACAAAAGTGACACTTTATTCTGTTTTGCTATTAAAATTTAAATCAATATGGGCAATTAGGTGAGTGAGTACAAAGGGATACAAATGCCCTCTAACCGTAGATGTAAGACAGTTTCACAGTCCAATACACACACACTATAAGATAGTTTCTGAAAACAGTGTTTCTATCAAAATAGCCAATCTCGTAAGGTTAACTTTTTTTTCTCTCTAAATTTATCCTTTTTTTTATAACGTAAGCTACAGAATAGTTTTGAAAACTCTATCATTATATAGTTAATAATGATAAAATTGGAAAGAAGTAGCATTTTCAGAGAAAATAACAAAAATAATTTTAAAAAAATTTAAGATGAATCACACAAAATTCTGTTAAACTTTAAATAACATACAAATAAAATTCTCAGCCTTTAAAACTAATTAAAAAAACCCTCCTAATCATTAATTATATGCTCTCTTAAATTTTATTTTCGTACGTATACACCATCAAATTCTGAGTCATGTACAAATAATTTTCTAAAATTTTAAGTTCACTGCAGACAAGTTGCAAACAAAACTAATAGCAGGAAGATCATATGCATCCACATAATATATTAGTGGGTTTATTGTAAGCTTCATTGACTAGAAAATTTATCTGTAGACAATATAAATTTAGAGTTATTAATAATTGAACATAAAATGCTTGAATTAGTTTAAACTGCCTTTTTCACATACATACACAAGTGAATGATGATTAGAAAAACGCCTACTATATATAACATGGTTAAGGTATAAACTTGTTAACTAAGTTTTTATTTAGGAGTACGAGACACCTAAAATTTTTTGAGTTCAATGTTATCCCAGAAGATTAAATATTTAATAAATTTTTTCATGCCGTTAAAAATATTAACAGTCTATGTTATTATTTTTAACATCAACGGTAGTTTTTTTAACAGCACAACTCAAAATTGTTATGATTTCAAACTTTTGGAGTAATATTGAACTAGAAAAAAAAATCTTTCAAATGCCTAATGCTTAGTGAAAACTCTCAAAATAAATTTGCACCTTAACTCTATATAATTTAGGCAAGATCTTTTTGAAGTATTAATCCACCAAGAGACTACAGATTTTTGGAACTCTAATGTGACCTGATTTATTGTGCCTTGCAAAACCTATCCATGACTACTAATAACTTTATGGCTCAATAGCACATGTATCTTCTTTTATAAAGAAGGTTATGAATTTTATTTGCTCGAGTGGCAAAAATGAGAGGTGTGCGCAGAGCATATGATTTCAATCCTATAAAAATTAGTAAAGCTCATAAAGATACTCAAGGAAGCTATTGAACTGAATCTCTAATAAATATCTCTTAAGAGACGTAATTCACAAAGCATAAATAGCATCATGTAGTTTATATAACTGAATCAAAGCCATTACATTTATATCATGCCTTGATTTTTGTCCTTCATTCATTCCTTCCCTGTAAATGAGCAAGGAACTAAAGGAAACTCAAATCAGAAAGTATCATGGCGTCTGCTAATGCACAAATTTTGACTACTTATCTTAATTGCAGGGAGTATATGTAGGAATTCCTCCTTTTAACTGGCAGGAAGAAGCTAAAGAAAGTGACGATAAAGGAAATATGAACTAATGGAAAATGAAGAACATTTGAAAATTTTCATGACAAACTACAATACTCTCATTACAACTTACCATGTAGCCTAAAGAATCAGAACTACAATACAACCAACCACCTCTACAAGATCTTTTAACACCAAACCCTTCTACCATTTCTTAACATGATCCGTAGTAAACAACAGATATTCTGGATCAAGTTACAACTTTCATCTGATATTAAGGCACGCCCAAGCAGTAAAAATTGATATTGCAGATTTACTCCAACAAAAGCGCAAGAGAGGCAACTTATATTTGTTCGTAACATAGATTATATCAGAAGAAACCACATCACAAAAGTTCATATAGTCATGCCTAGTTTTAGCTTGAGCTGGTAAAAGCTCATGATTATGCCCCTTCACAAAACTGTGAACTACCCATTTTCCATCAGGCCTTCTTTTTACATGCATGCTTGCCTTGCAATCAGTCTTTGAACGAGATCTTCGACCAGTTGAACTTTCAGCATCTTGCTTGTTCTGTCAGCCATGCGGTCGATTGAATGATTTGTCATGCTCTCTTTCTGTTCCATACCTGAAAATAAGCAACTAAAGGCAAGAGAGGAGAGGAATTACTAGAGTGATGGTACGTTTGGTGCTCTATCTGACGGATATATACTATAGAGAGGAGAGGAATTCAAGGCATCATTTCGGTGATACAGGCTAGCGTGTGTGAGCATGTTGCATCAAACACAAGTCAAGCTAAAAAAACAAAACAAACGCCCAGTTACAACAAAAGTTAAAACTAAATACATATGAACATATGACTGAAAAAAATATGCAATTGACATCAATAAGAACAGTGCAAATTTTTTCTACGAAAATGCGTGTCAACTTTTTCCATCATGAACACAAGCAACGCAATCTTGGAGTAGAGTCACTAACCTTCTTTTATCATTTCAAGAGACCTTGATGAACAATTCATCAATCAGATTCTTTGCCTCATCATTTTCACCTTTTTCCAAAAGAGGTATAATAATTGTTTCAAAAGTTACAAGATCAGGCGAGCACCCATTCTCTTGCATTTTATAAAGCAAAGCCTTTGCCTCATCATACAAATGCTCGTTACAAAGTCCTTTGATCATAGCATTATATGCTGGCACATCCAAAGGATGACCATTAACCAAAAGATGTTGGAAAATCTGCCATGCATCGTTTAATCTGTTACCCCTCGCACAAACCATCAATAAGTATGGTATATGTGTAAGTATTAGGTCGAATCCTTGGTTAACAATTTTCCCGAATAATGAAATTGCCTGGTCAAGCTGGTGACTTTTGCACAATCCGTCCAACAAGGTACTATAAAATACTATATTTGGGGCACAACCTCTATCATGCATCTCATAAATAATATCTTGCACATCAGAGATTCTACCTGACTTGAACAAACCGTCAACAAGGGAGCTGTAAGTGACAATGTCGGGAATAAGGCTTTTACGACACATTTCTTTAGAGAGATTCATGGCCTCATCAACCATCTTCATTTTACAGAGTCCATTAATTAAAAATGTTATAGCTAATAATACAAGGAGCCAAACCACTTT